CGGCTTCCAGACTTGGCGGGTTGGTGGTGGCTTCTTCGTCACCTCCTTTTGCAGTCTTCTACGGGCTTCTTCAGCTTTGGCCCGTACTTGCGCCGATAATGCGCGGCGTTTGCGGATACGCTCCTCCAGCGTCGTACGGTTCCGTTTGACCCGGACCCACTCCATCGTTAAGGGCTTGGAGGAACTACTTTTCATTTGATGTTGAGGCTGTTTGCCTCGTTTGTTTTTCAGATCCGCATTGTAGCGGATCCCGTCAACGGACTCCATGGCCTTGGCGAATTGCTTCGCGAGGCGTTGACGCTGCCTCTGGCGAGCTCTCTTAGAGAGAGTCACCACGCCTTCGAAAAGGGGGCCTATTTATAGGCTACCCTCACTGTGCCTTGGGCACAGTGCAGCCGGCCACCTTGAGGTGGCTCGGCTCTGGGCCGGCCACCTCAAGGTGGCTCGGCCACCGAGCCACCTCAGGGTGGCTCGGCATTGGCCGAGCCACCCCGAGGTGGCTCTGTTCGCGGGAAAAGTCGTTGCTTTCTTTATTGATTCCATTGCTATCTTGAATAACAGTTTTTCGATTACAAAAGATCCGGTCTTTTTTTAGATTCGGTTACAATGAAAATCAAAAAATAAATAAAGAAAATTACAACTCTTTCTCTTTTGTCGAACAGATCGCGAGCTCCTGTTTTGTGGTCGCTCGCTTTGGTGGGTTGTTTGCCTGCGCCGGGGTTGTTTGCCGTGGACCACCGCGCGATCTAGATCCGGACCGATCTACGCAGTATAACGGGTATTATTTCACCAAGGAAATAATAGCCGGAGGGATTATTTCACCAAGGAAACAATCGCTCGAATCTCGGGATCAAAGACCAAGCTTTGATCCGGAGTGTAACAACGTAGATCTGAGATCTTGATCCCCTCGAACTCCTGCCTTTTTTGTGATGCGGGTGCTCGCCGAGAATCAGATCCGAATGTCCAAGTCTTCAAGCCTTCAAAAACTCCAAGATGAGGTCTCAATCCGGCAGAGTTTCGGCTCTCCAAAAGTTCTTCCAAAAAAAAGTCCTCCAAAATGATGAATGACCCCGCCTATTTATAGGCAACCAGATCTGTGCATTTGGCACAGATCTGGGTGGCCACCTCAGGGTGGCTCGGTTTCGGCCGAGCCCCTCCGGGTTTTGCGTCCGTCGTTCGGTTGTTTCGGTCTTTGTATCCGCTTCGTCCGTGATTCGGTTATGCGGTTGATTGGTCTGAAATCGATTCGTTGACTTGATTCCTGATTTGGCAGTAAATCCGATTCTGAGCTTGATTCCAAAACTGATCGTGACTCGATCGCGATTCATCCGAGTTCGCCTGTGGCGTTGCTCTGAACCCCGATTTGTTCTGAATCCTGATTTGGAAGCCTGGATGGATGACTCATTGACTCCTTGAACCGTTGGTTTGATTCCGCACGCGAGTGGATTCATTCCGTCGTTCGCGTGCGGTTCGTCAGCTTCGTAGCCTCGTTAATCCGTTCCGTCGCACATTGTTTGGCTTCGGTGTTGACGGGTTAACGATCGTGCTTAGATACGTCGCCCGATGGTTCATTAGTTCGTGTTGAGCCCTGTTAAGGGACCTATAAGCAATTTTATATGCCTACAGTTCCTACCATACAACTCAACCAAACCCGTTATGTTTTTAACGCGATCCAATCTTGCCATTGAAAAGATTATGGGCTTGTTCCTATCCTTCAGCACAAACCTACAAGAACAAAAACATTTTTACTCAATAAAAAGATGGATTAATTACAATCTTCATACCCTGAGGTATGGTGTAGTTACACGGGTGACCCCAGAGTTCGCATATCTACACGATGAGTAATTCTGAAAATTACTGACTGTAATTACCCAGGTGACTCTAGAGCCTGCTTATTTTTTCGCTCTAAGGATAACACGATACAATCGGTAATCTCAGGATTTACTAGTGTAGATACACAGAGTTTAAGGTCCCGTGCAATTGCACCATACTATAGGGTACCCGGATACAATTGGAAAGAGATCTTTAGTGAGACAGATATGAGCATAATGAGCATGAGATTACTTGTGGTCAGCATTCTCAACAGAACTAAAGAGGAGCTCTTCAATTTCTGCGTGAAGAGATGTCAACCTCCTGCTCTCCTCATAGTAAGGGAAGTAGATGGACATGTCAGCACCACGAGAGACAATATTGAACTTTGGATCAAAGACATCAATTCCATGAACTACTCGGTATAAACCAGGAAGAGTGAAGGCAGTGTGGGATTCGTATTGACCAATTGTATCCTTACTGAGATAAGAAGAAGATAAAAATTCGTGTCACTGCCTTCGAAAATTTCATTATAAAGTTATCGACTAGTTAGAAAAAGATCAAAATTTAAGTTCTTACTTTCCGGCAATCTCTTGGAAGGTGCTTGTAATGATGAAATCGGTGTGATTCATGGCGACGAGATCAGCTGTAAATTGGCAGGAGAAATGGTACTGGTTCTCAAATTTCTTCCAGTAAATATCTGAGTTTGGATACTTCGTTTTTTCCAACACAAGGCTGCCAAAGCGCTGCATTGACAAACGCGGATATCGAACCCCGTGCTTTTAAAATTATGAGCACGAGGGTCGAGATCCCCGTACTTTGGACTCCAGGGAGACAGAGTCTTAACTCTATCTCATGCCATTAAAACGAGTTTCCTCGTTGATTTAGAAGTCCAGAACTTGCCATAGCAAGTTTTACGATCACAAAGATCATATTTACCTCCGACTAAGGGAAACTGGGGCGGCGGCACGCCCGCCTGAGCCACAGCATCGCTGGCCGACACAGACGGCAACGAGCTCTGGGCCGCGGCGACGACGGGCTTGAAGGGCCGAGAGACGGTTTTCTTCCTGGGTGCCATGGATTTCGTTAGATGGGGAAGATGAACAGTATTCGCCGAAGATGAAAATGAAAATCTTCGTTGCAAATTCAGGGGAGAATGGAGAAGAGTCGAATGACTCTTGATTTGACCCCAGCGGTCTACTTATAGACAGTTGTGAGCTGTCAAATCGGAACGAGATTCTAGGCAAGAATCTCACCCAAACGCGATTTTGGCGTTCGAGTTGGTTGAACTTCCGAACGCATGGCTTACCCATGCATTCCAATTCTCAAGCGCAGAGTTCACGTACACGTTTTAAACACCACAAAAGCAATGTCTCGACAACCGAGGCACGACACAGTTTCAAATAAATAAAGAGAGGCCAACATCGACCATCAAGGTTACCAAAGCCGAGAAGAAATTAGCGTATGACAAGCAGCTATGCAGCCTCTTGGATAAGTACAGATAGGTTACAGTCAACGATGCTAAAATCGTCAAGCTCGATCCGTCATACAACTCATTCTCATAAATGGCTTAACATTCCCACTAAGATTAATAAAGCCAAAAGCTGCACACAACTCATTCTCTTAAATGGCTTAACATTCCCACTAAGATTAATGAAGCTAAAAGCTGCACGTCAAGTGTTCATCAATGCCTATAAGAATTTTCTAGATAAAAGAATACATCTCATCGTAGATTGAGTGGAGTATCTCAAAGACCCACACGAAATCTGAAGAATACACCTCATTGCAGACTAAGTGGAGTATCTCAAGGACCCAAACAAATTCGTTGTCATCATCGTTCTTGTTTGGTTCATCAGCAATGACTTGGACTTTAGCTTGTTTGACTAAGTTCATTGTTACCATGACACAAAAGTTATCTTGTTTGGTTTAAGGAAGAAGAATTGTGACATTCCGACAATCAGGTTCACGATGTCTTCGAATCAGATGAAGTGAACAGTTAATCAATCAAATTATAGGATCCAAAGTATTCTGAAAATTCATCCCAGTCAACCGCGAACTTTCAAAAACTTTGGAGGGGGTTCTGTAGGCTATCTAAAAATCATAACAGATGGCTGATCCCTATCAAACTTCGATCAACATTTTGACAAAGAAAGTTACAATCCGATGACATTCACGTCAACAAATGAAAACATCAATCAGAGGATTTTCACGTAGATCGGGAAAAGGTTATAATTCGACGGCCTCCACGATGACTGATGAGAACCCTGAATCAATAGTCTTCATAATCAACTGTGAGAGTTACAATCTGACGACTCTTACACCCCCAAAACATCTAAGGCAAAGATCACTCAACAATGGTCTTAACAACGCTCTACAGAAGAGGTTATAAGTCACTAGCCTCTTCTAAACGCGGAATTCACCTTCGCGTTTCAGTTCTTGAGACGCAAACGACCCCTGTGTTTCCAACCCTCAGCAAACAAAACACGGGCACCCCTCACGTTTTTCAACATCCAGCGGGTGTCCAACTCCGCGTCTCCAGTCTAAGACGTGGAGTTAGGATCCTGAACGCCAACTTGAGCATTTGACTCATTTAATCATGAGTCGAACGGTTTCAGAACCATTTTTCCCACGATCTGAGGAAATCACGCCCACTTAGGAGCGGATTTAGGGGTTTGTTACACCCCCTTATCCCCTATAAATAATCACCTTACTAAACCGAGTAAGATGTTGGATTTTGAAGTGGGATTTTATGGGGATTCTTAGATATCAAGGGCGGATTCTCTTGGAGATTGGAGTTTTCGGCTAGATTTTGAAGATCAAATCATGTACAAGATCAGCTAGAGAGAGTTATTTGTAGCTAAAAGATCAGGTCTTGGAGGATCTTTTAGCAACAGAAAATCTATTTGGTTATCAACCGATTGTTCGGTTTCAGCAACTCTTTTCACAGAGTTTTCAACTCGCTCTGAGTCCTATTTGGTTATCAACCGATTGTTCGGTTTCAGCAACTCTTTTCACAGAGTTTTCAACTCGCTCTGAGTTACAAAACTCGTTAAGAGTTCTTAATTAAACTTGTCACACAAGTTAGTTATTCCAGTGAATTGAGACGTGCGGATCATCAATGGAGATCAAATTCAACACGAGCATTCGAAGGAGGCACATCATCGCTACCGTGAAGAATCCAGACTTAAACAAGGGGAGAATTCAGATTAGTTCTCCTCTCTTTTGTAATCGGAATTCAAATTGTAATTAAGATCGAGAGAATACAAATCAAATTTCTTTTATTTTATTTACTACAAATTTTCCACCAAATAGCTCCATTAACTTAGGATGGAAGCATCTTTGTTGTTGCTTAACTGACTTAACACTAGGGTTGATGTTAAGGTAATATACAACCACGTTTGGATCTAGACCCAGCATGTCTTCATAGCTCTAGGCGAAGACATCAATGTCCTCTTGAAGGAGAACTATGAGTTCTTCCTTTTTAGTAGATGATAAACTTTCGCTGATAAAGATGGGTTTGGGGTTAATTTCATCTCCTATGTTGATTTGAACAACTTTATCCTCAGTGGCTGGTTCGCTAACTTCAAAGCGTGACTCTTATTGCTTCTCAAGTTGTTTTGCCCATGAATCATCTTCATGATCTTTGAACACTTCAGATTCATTGAGATCCATGGTTAGTCCATATGAGAGCATATTGTCTATGAATTCACTATACAAGACTACAAGGTTAATGTCAGAATCTCAATTGGACGTGTCTGAAAAATTGCTTAAAAAGTCATCAGATGTTGGTCCTATTTATGGTCCGGCTTTGAAAGAAACGTAACCAAGTCATCGTTTGGTTTGATTGTAATAATTAGAAACTTCATCTTCCAGTGTAAAGGGGATCAAAGGGTTCTTAGTCCTCTATTGAAATTTAACCCTTATTTTGTATTTTGGTTGTATCCCATTTTTACCATAATCTGCTGAGACTGCTGGCTATATCAGGAGAATTCTGGTGCTCCTTTAGCTTCTTCATCAAAGTGTGATAAGTGAGATTGTGTCTCAATTTTTTCGAAGATGATTGGATTCATGATATTCTCTTTGGGTAAGACCATGAAAGTGGCAACCTTCGAGTTGTCTAATTGATTGTGACTGAGAACAACTCGCTTATTAGCATATGCAATATCGGTTCTAAAGCTAGCCTAGTCATTAGATTTTTGACTCCTGAGTTTTCAAACTCAGAGTCTAAAAAGTAGTCCTAAGCAAACTCTTCTCTATTAAATATCCAATTGCTCTGATCTTCGACGGACTGATCGATACAGAGATCTTCTAGGATAATTACAAGTGGATCTATCTCCCAGATTAAATTATTAATGGGATCTAACTCGACATATGCTTCATTACAACTATCCTCTCCATTGGGAAGGATAATCTCGATTGCATGATTTTAATCATATATAATTTTAATCATACAAGAGGGAGTCGGTGAAGTAACTTTGCATCCCCTTGAAAGGATTTTTCTCAGCTTGGACTCTTTGTTAAACCCCCTATCCATCAATATATTTGAAACACCAATGAAGTGTTGAAGGGACGAGCATGTTAGAATAGATCCAACATCATCTGAGGAGAAGGTTGTAAGGTGTCTCGACATCGATGACATAGAAAGTCACCTCTATTTTAAATATTCGATTTGACACTTGAGTCAAATCTTTCTAAGAAATGGGCTTCTACTGGAGTTGAAGCCAAGTATGGTTGCAGAAGTCTTTGAGAACTTGTGAAAGGGGATTCCTAAAAAAACTCAGGAGCCTTCACAGAATTATGCTTAACATGGAGCCCGGATCGATGTGAATTCTCTTAACCCTTGACGACCCTATATACCCAATAGAGTGAATGGGTCGATTGTGATGATGATGTTTGACAAGCATCTCCTCCAGAGTGAAGGTGATGCAAGGCGTTTGCTATTAGCATTGATGGCATTGCTTGTTTCCTTCATCTTGAGGAGGTCCAATCATGCGGGCGAGAAATACCTCATTGTTATTCAAAGCTTCTCTCGTGTCATTAGATAAACGTAAATGTTCGAATAAAGTTATACGAGCTGGAATGTTGTCCAATTGAATCATGATGTCATATCTAAGAAGTTTTTTCTTACAGAATGTTGTAAGGCCTTGTCGAATCAAATCTCCTTTTGCTTGGTCAGTTCTGGTTATTTGGATGTCTGGGCTGATTGTAATCCCTTAAGTAATCTGTGTCGGACCTCGTTCCTGTCATGGCCACTTTTTATCCCTCTAAATCAGTGAGTGAAGTGACATGCAGAGACTCTTCTTCGATGGGTGGAGATAATGTTGCAAGTCTTCATCTTTTGTTTGTTTTGGACTTTTGAAGAGTCCAACTCTCACCCTAAAGAAGGTCAGAATGTACTAATATTATTTTGCCTTTCGCCGTAGTAAGAGGGATCAAGCCTTGGCTTTACTGGTTCTAGCGGTCATAATTTACCACCTCCATCCTTGTAGTAGGAATAGGGACAATGTCATTTGAGCTTGGATTTCTAGCATGGAACCAAATTGGAGAGTCACCATGTTAGCGGATTTCTGGCATGGAGCCAAAATGGAGAGTCACCATGTTGGCGGTGACTTTCTTTTACTCCGGTTTGAGTTTGAGAATTCCTGATTCGACAAATGTCTGTATCTTATCCTTGAGGATGTAGTAGTTCTTCGTCGGATGTAGCAACATTCTGTGATAAAAGGCAATAGTTCGAGTTATCGATCTTTCCAAC